CATATGTTTAAACTGTCCGCGACAGAGAAAAGCAATATTATGTGAGCTTCATAACACTGAATCTAACGCTGAGAAAGTCGCACTTTTGAATCATGATGATCGAAAGTTGCGTCTGCTCTGCACAAGCACCAAGATTGGCGGCGCCTATACAGCAATATCGAGGAAAAGAATGCCGATACCCTAAGCGTAGCTCATTTAGTAGTTCCAGCACAGACTATAGGTACCAGCTGTGCTGACTGTGCATAAAGTGCGGACAGTGCTCCGTGTGCAGACTGGGAAAAAATGGTTCCCCGACTTTACTTCACAAAAATAATCATTGAATCGGGCGTTTCGTCTCCCATAAAGCGCATATCATCGGTGATGCAATCTTCATTCGCGCACGTAACCAAACCCACACTGTTTTTTTTGTTTTAACGTTAGCTAAAACAGATATTGTTTTTCATAACGCACAGAACTCTCGTTTCTATGTTTGTTTCAAAGTATGGCGGCGTATATTTACCGGCACATACGAAGCCCTCGGCCAACAACAACCGATACGCGCTTACGGCGGCCATTTTCTGTGTCACCGCCGAGCGCCGCGTTAAGCTGGTTAAGCACGACGAATGCTCGCGCCACTTTGCATGAAACGCGTTATACGTAGCGCTACACACTTCTGCGAGACACGACTGCAGCGAATGCTCGCGCATATATTCAGAGGAGGGCGCGCACTTTCCCGCCTGCTGCTAGAGAGCCTAGATTCAAGAGAGGGAGCAACTGAAACTACGGAGAGCTTTCGTAACTGAGCGGTGGACGCCTCCCCCGCAGACTGGTTGCAATTGCGCATCCGCCAAGTTCGTCGCGTAGTAAGGAGGAAAGCGGTCGGAGGGACGCTTGCATTCGATCAACGCCTCATCACCTTCCCGCAACTCGTACTGCAAACGCGGTCACCAAACCACGTGATCAAGCGGTTGCACACCCTGTGTAATGTAGGCACACTAACTGCCGCCACCACCGCTCGCAGCCGCGCGCATGATTCGATTAGTCGTCATGACAGGGGCCGGAATGCGAGTTTCCCAACGCGCGCTGCTCAAGCGAAAGAAAGGGGGACCCGCGCAGTCTAATAGGCGACACGTGGTACTACACCGAGGAAAGACCGATCGAACGGCAATTAAGGTCGCGACGTGCTCCAAGTTGAGGTTGCGACAGCGCCCCCCTAAACATGCTAAAACCCGCGGCGTGCGCGGGCTAAACTCGGCGCAAGTTTCCTTCTCATTACGTGCGTTGCGAAAGCCTCTGCCCATTTATCGTCTGGCCTGTCAATAACGGGACAGCATCGCGTACGGGTCGCGGCGCACGTGTCGCCTTGGGTTCCGTAGTTATGCACAACGGGCTGTACACGGAATGTACGTGCATGGTAGGCTGCAATAGTGCAGATACCAATATGAATTATAGAATGCTCGAAACAAATGCTAGGTATGGGAGCAACACTATGTAGCCCATGAGATCCCAGCGTCACGTCCTGTGTCCTGTTAAGATATATCATGCGCTTGTGGTGCGTTATTACTTCGGACGACAGTTTTAACGCGCGTTCATGGCAGCATAGATAGGAAGAATCAAAACGCCAAGATACAAAGGTTACGTGAAGAAAAAAAGATAACACACTGCGGGCCGAAGGTCTGAGAAAACCGCGAACCACAAAAACCACATTATCCGACATCATGCACGGGCTTAAAGGTTCTTAGACACGTTAACTTCGACCCATACAAGACGATCCAGTGAGTGCTGTAAACCGTGCCTTCCTCGCACCCCAATATAAGAAAATATCCTTTTTTCTTCTTTTTTTCTACTCTGACCGGTTCGTTAAGGTAGTGGTATCTTTAATCCTTGGTACGAATCCAAATCTATCACATTGCACAGCCGAATACCCCGAAGATGATGATCTTTCTGACATAGCACGTTTTCTTAACTATAATATGCATACACCCACTTAACTGCATGATCAATATATATATATATATATATATATATATATATATATATATATATATATTTTTTTTTTTTTTTTTTTTTTTTTACTATGCCATAAGGTCACTGCAGCCTACCATGCGCCTACATTCCGTGCAGCCCACATCACTATCTGATGATGATGCAAATAAAAATGATTGATTGATTGATTGATATCGTCTGCAATGTCTACCCCACACCTTAAAACTCTTTAGGGTGTATTAACGGGACGCCATATCGTTTATCCTCCGCAGCGCACTCTCAAAAAACCGGCTCCCATTCTCCGCCAAGAACACCGATTCTGAATGGGTGGAATGACCCTTAAACGTGCATAATCATGCATTCATTCCAATCAAGAGGTTTATTCCTCCCAGCAGATAAATGGGAGCTAGTTCTGAGCATGCGCCGCAGGCGACAAACAATATGACATCCCGTAAATACCCCCACCCTCCTACCTCAAACCAACCTTTCGGCAAAACCAACTCATTTTCAAAAAACGAAAAAAAAGACAGCACCGATATTATTATTTGATTTACTTTCTCAGTCCTGTGGTTTACTTTATGCGCATAAAGACAGAGACAATACCAGAGACAAGGAGTGTCAGACCGCAATGCCGACTCCAAGGTTTCCGTGTGACACTAACGATGAAGGCACCTGGCGCAACCCCGGAAGGGGGGGGGGGGGGGGGGGGGGGGCTGAATTTTTTTTTATTTTCCACCACCTGGGGATCTTTTGGCGTGCAACTGAAACCTAAGTTACACAGCGCCTTCCGTAAGATTGCGGGCACCTCGGCTGGGATTCGAATTAATCCGCCATGTAGAGATCCGAAGGCAGGCGCTTGACCTCTGTATCACCGCTTATATTTAAGAAATGCGCAGGGTACGGCTTATTATGTTCAGGCTTCTTGATTTGTGATTGGTACTTCTACGTTCTTATTGGCTAATGTCACGATCCGATTGGTTCCGAGGCGATAATAAGATGCTGGGGATTCGACAACGCACTGCATTCTTTAAACTGTCAGATGACTATACACGCTAAAAAATAGGAAAAAAAACAAAAACAAACTTGTGGCCAACGGGGGAACCCTATTTGCCACTGATACTGGATGTATTGCCATTGAGATCCAAAACCACTTAATTGTTACTGTTTTTACCTTCGATATTCCATTATACTAAGAAACGTTTTTTTTTTTTTTGTCTTTTCTTTTTTTAGTTAGAAGTTTAACTTATAGAATAATCTCAAATATAGGTCAGTGAATAAAAGACACGGGCATTCGCAGTTGATCCGTGCTTATAAAAAAAGACACAAGTGTTTTCGATGGTGCATCGTGTTTTTAAATGGAAGACATGTCGCTTATGTCAAAAAGCCAAAAATAGCTACCAAGCGAGAATCGATTGAGTAGCTTTCGGCGATGGGAAATGGGGCATGTCGTTTCTCGAAAGTTTTTAAAACCTTTAAAACGAATATAGAAAAAAAAATTCTTTGTGGATATGATTAATTTGTTTTGTTTAACGAGTAATATTTGTTCTTACATTCCCGGCCTTTGTCCTACTTTCAAAAAGGAAGGAAGAAGCACGTCACGTCTAGAGATCAATAAAAAAGAGCCGATGAATAAGAAAAATTAATATGCACTGGCTAAAAAAAAAATATGTCCACGCGTTAACTATCCTTTCTGCAGGGCACTTGTAGCTGCAATCATTGCAATGTAGCGAGAGATCTCGGCAAGCAATCAAGGCCCGAAAAAAAGTGTTTCAACCTATAAACTGTGAAGTCTGCGATATGAAACCGCGACGCGAACGTGAAACGTCCAACCTATAGCCTCAAGTGGCACGAGGTGTGGCACTTGATGCTAGGTACGACGTAAAGGAAAGCAGTTTTTGTCTTGTTTTTGTTAAACCCGCTTCGTAGATCTCGGTACTTTGCCTCCCCTATGTAATACCCGCCTATGTAATACCCTCTCACGAGGGCCTTTAGGGGTAATATGAATAAATAAATAAAATAACACGTACTACATTCTAATAATTAAAAAATACAGGAAGACCCATTGGTGGGTTCTTAGGGAGTATGTTAGAATAATCCCTGCGAAACGCGACACACGTCCCCCTTTGGGAAACGCTAACGCTGACCCCTTCACTTTTGTGTCTTGGCTTTCTCTTTTGCTTCCTTTATTTTTTTTTTTCGGACTCTTTTTAGAATCGTCATGGGGTTACTGTTAGCGTTTCCCAAAGGGGGACGTGTGTCGCGTTTCCCGAGGGTCATGATAACGCATTTCCTAAGAATCCACCACTGTATTTTCCTGTAATTTATTTCGTCCCTTTTCTGTACTCTGTCTGTCAAGGGACGTCGACGCCCTTGGACACGGTCATCCATATCACTCGTGGGAAGAACCGCATCCATACCACTGGTAAAAGGAACCGCATTCATATGACTCGTGGAAAGAACAGCCATCCATCGTTTTAACTACATACAGACACACATCACAGCCCACACACCGCTACTACGGAAACCCAGACTGAAAAACGAACGGCGACGGCATAGAGCTGCAACTGAGCACGCCCGCATTCCAGCGCGCCGTGGCGCCTCCTCCTCTCTGGCTCCGCGCCAGCTGTGCGACGCTCCTTTGAAGAAGAAGAAAACGCTCGTTTCGACGAAAACCCGGCGGTGTCTCTCAGTTTGTCAGGGCCGAGAAGAGTGGGAGAGGTTGACGCGTCGCATCAGCGCTTCCTCCATCAGCGCTTCGAACTAATGGAAGCGTCGCACGCGTCACCCTCTCCCCCTCCTTCTCCTTCTCTCCCAGGCGCTGAAAAAAACAAAAGGCACCACGGGGTTTCAGTCAAAACGAGCGTTCTAATGCTATCGCGTTAAGAAAAAGTACATATAGAGAATGCAATGTGCGCAGGGACAGCGACGAGAAAAGAAAACGTATCGGCATGCAGACGTTTATTTACTGTTTAATTTGAATGATATACGCGAGATTCTAAATATTCAAAGGTTTTCCTTTTGTTTCGTTATTGCAGGGCCGCCCAAGTTCGACGTCAAGTTCCGCGCCCACGCTGTGAAGCGGGGCGAGAAGGCAAAGCTGGCGTGCATGGCCACGGGCGACCTCCCCATCGCCGTGTCCTGGTCCAAAAACAACGACCGCGTCCCAGACAAAAGCAAGTTCAGGTGAGTGGCTGTACGGAAACAAACACGCTGTTTACATACACGTCCGCGCTTGCGCTGACACGAGATTCACGTGTAGTGAAGCTTGTGCGCATGCGCCGCACCAACAGCATCGCCATCGCAGCCTAGCTGCGTCAGAGCCGCTTTGATAAGCAGGAGCTTTATTGACAGTTTCCATCTTTAAAAAGGCGCGTTCCGTGTGCATTTCCACAGAAGACTCAGAGAGTCTATCATTGCAGCATAGGGAGCGATTGAGTTGCCAAATAACGAGACTGAAGGAACGCTAAATGCTAAATAATTAATGCCGAATTCCTAGGCAAATGTGTTGAATGCGTGGCGAAGCTCTGAGTGTCAAGACGCCTAACGTTCACGGCGATCTTCACCATATAGTGTAACGCGTGCATGTGCATACTTGATAGTTGTTTCTAGAATTAAGCTATGCTATACCGCTAATCGGGCTGATAAACTTGGCAATCTCTCAGAACCTCCCATACTCTCGAGCTCCTCTCCCTCAGTGCACACAGGTGGCCGAGCTCCTCCTCGCCTCTGGTCACATGACTTCCACGTTAACCAATCAGCGTCAAAAACCTCACTCCTCCTCTCCCACCTGTCAACCAATCAGTGTTGAGCCTCGCGGCCACGCTTTTATCCGGGCTTCACGAAATGCCAAACACTTAGCCAAACGACGTTTCACGTTCAAATGAAATGAGAGGTGCTGACGCTGAGCACGACGTGTGACTGTGAAACGCTATTCTAACTGTCGCACCGCAGGGTTTGCTGTACATTGTTTATCGTACCTTGTTTTTCACCGCGCTCCCTCGTTAGACCGCGCTGATCGACTCCCTCGGTGTTGTACGAAAAGTAGACGCATGGACACTGTTATAAAAGTGAACTTTAGTAGTCCGTATACGAGCGAACGCAAGCACTTAGCGTTGGCGTGATCGTTCCGTGTTCCCCACAGCGCGAGCTCGGAGCCCAAACGACACTCTTGGATTGGCGCGTGATGACGGCGCGCATGCGAAGCGTGGAGCAGGCAACGCTAACAAAAACGTAACTAGCTTGCGTTTACTTCTATACGAAATACTAAAACTCTCCATCATGCCGGCGAAAAAAGAAGCAGGTACATAAGTTTTGATGGGCAAAAGAACTGCAGGGCGTGGTCATACTAATCATTTAATTATGGTTACTAAGAAGCATAATACCCCGGTCTCACGAGTGTTTCAAATGGCGCTTATGCCGAAGGCCTTATGTATCGGTAAATGTCTTTGAAACTTCCCTTTCCAAATGATATTTTCAACTGCCATTTATGCTATGTCAGTTCTAGTTGCTTTGTAATGGCGATGCAGCAATTGGTGAACAAGAAAAAACAAGAAACGCTTCAGAAACGGGAACAGTGTTACTACTTTTAAATTAATTATAGTAGGAGCACTTCTTATTACAATGCAACAGAGAAAACCGCTCGAAAGAACGGGTGTGTTGCCGATACATTGGAGGCCCGCGGCAAAGCACCTAATTTGAAGTGGTATGTAGTTTGCACATTTCTGCAGAGCCAACAGGAAGCGCCCGAGTCTCCGATGTGTATTCCATCTGATTTGAGACTCCCTTTGGTTGGGTCGACCACTGATGTCTACTATAGGGGGCTGGATGGCGCTTAGCTGCTCTCCGAGCCCGGCGCAAGTGAAGCCACCGGAAGTTTGGTGCTTGTCCCGGAAGTCGGGCGTGCGCTGGGCTTCCTAGTGCATTCAGTCGATATTTTGGACCATGCTTTTTTGTGTCTTTTATTGGATTTTATTACTCCCGTTCTGGATCAAATCCCGAGAATGAGGCATTTGAACTTGGGACATATTCACAATTTGATCAACTAGAATCTCAAAATGTTTACATTGAATGGCTTCTCATGATACTTCTCGGGTCCGCACGCGCTCTTACTAATAATAATAATAATAATAATAATAATAGTTTTATTAGCACAAAATAATTCACGTACATTAATTACTGCCTCACGAAAGCACTTGCGTGCTTGTGTGTGAGAACAGGCAGTCCATACAAGAAAAACAAATCAAACAGAAAAAGAACAAGCGTAAAATAAACACATCTCAATTTTGACACCACATGTTGCAAACTTAGTTTTATGTAAACATTGCACCTTACCGCGAAATAAAAGGACAGATTAAATAACATGTCACACGCCATCCAAATACGGTCAAAGCTAAAAAAAAAAAAAAAAATGGTTTATGTTGTTTGTCTTATACAACCATATATTTTACATTGCACTTCGCAGAAAGTTGGGTACACCTAGGAGAACACAATGGGTTTGTTAACAGAGCAAAAATCGACAACAAAAATGCATTTTTCCCTCTCCTCTCGATCCATGATATGTTTGCAATAGTACGAAAATACCTCGAACACAATGGGAACACAAGGACAAGGACGTACCGGCGTTCGGTCGTGTATCACTACTGCACGTTAAACCCCAATCTGGCTGTCGTACTGTACTGGCTAAATTGCTTATCTACAGTGGGTAAGAATGTCGCCATGTTCTGGCACACTAAACTCCTGCTGTATAAACAATTAATGACTAATTTGTTTGCTTTTATTTGTTGATGCCTGACAACTGAAGGTGTTTCACAAACACCGTTTGGTGTAAATTCTTACTTAACTTAAATGTACTTAGATTTAAAAGGCCTTTGAGCAGAGATATATGAGCTCGCAATATCGAAACGAGAAGGACAACCACAGAACGACGAGAGCTGTCATAACATGACACACCTTGTGATTATTAAGTTATCGATGTACCTACATTTATCAACACAGTCTATTCTCTAACATGTCCAAAGCTTTTTTTTTTTTTTTGCGATTTTGAACACGTTTTAGCGGAACCGTTTGTCAAAAAAAAAAAATAACCTGTTCGTCGTCGTTGTTGGCTAATGCTATCGGAGGTATCAGAACAGTGTACTAAAAGTCCCCAGTGGAACCTAAGTAAAGAATCAGTTCAGCATCCATACGTGCCCCCCCAGCGACCGAGATAAACGCAAGGCCACATTTTTCTAGAACGGTCTGTTCACCCTCGTCGTCCAACTACCTGGCACTCCATCTACAGGCGCCTCCGACGTTAACGCGGCCATCTTCAAAAGTTGGTTGTGTCGAACAGCCCTTGCTGCGAGATAATATCCGTATACGGACAGCAGAAATTGTTTATGAGCCACCCTATACACCCGCGTTATCTCCCTGTCGAAATATGGACTTACTTTCGCCACGGCGAGCTTCATCAGTCTCCCAGCCAAAAAAAAAAAAAAAACGTAGATATACATATAGAAATACGAGCGTCTTCCCGAGTCTACAAACCATTCCGACATCCGACGCACACCGTCTGAACAGCCGGTTGCAAAAAAAAAAAAGTGTAAATAAAAAAGTGTTAGGGATGGTCTCGTTTTCCCCGAAATGCGCCTTGGGGATTCGGGCGGACCTCCCTTTGCCCGGTCGTGTATGGCCGTGCCCGAAGCCAACGGAGCGACCACCGTGGAAGAAAGCGAGTCAATGCGTCGACCTTTCCCGCCCCAACCCTCCCGGGGTAGTGAATGAACCTGGTGAGCGTGCAGCGACTGGCGATCACTTTCATCGGCCGAAACACACACCTCGATATTCCCACGTGACCCCTTTACCCAACGACCCTTTGCGCCATTTATCGGGAGCCCTTTTTCCCAATTCCTCCTTCCTATAAATGTTTTTTTTTTTTTTTACATTAAATCCTCGGTGTTGTTGTTCTCACGCTCTTGCGCCACCTACGCCTTTTTTTTTATTTTTGTTTTCTTTATGGCCGCCGCCTCTTCACATTCTCCTTTATGTAGACCTGAGGTTCTTTCGTTCGTGTGTGCGTGTGTGCTTATGTGTACGTGTGTTAGTTTGTTCCTTCTATGCCGGTTCTCCCTGTTCGCTGCGAGTAGAAAAACCAGCGTAAGAACGGAAACCTTTCGAGTTCGTAGGGGTTGTTCCTGTTCTCTCCGGAGTGCCATATAAAAGACTCCGCCGCTGCAAATCAATTCTGAGAGTGACGCCTGCCAAGAAAAGAAAAAGAAAAAAATTAGCATTTATGCTTTATTGTTTATATTTTGTTTGCTTCCTTTCTGGAAATTTTGAAGGGAGTTTACGCTGGAGTACAAGCTGCCAAGACATTATGGCGCCGTTTCGAAACGTGTCTCAAGAAAAGCGCCGAGACCCCCGCATTTTTATCGGGTTCACTAAATCTTGGCATAACGAAGATTTAGAGCATGACTTTTACGTGACTACGAACGCACCCTTCCCAGCCGCACACCTTTCCTCCCTTATTTCTCTTTTTTTTTTTTGTCTTTTTAATGGTCAAACTTTCGAGCGAAGCACGTAAAGCTTGCAATCTCACATACACCGCAATCTTGAAAACGCCTTGGCGCCCTCAGTCACTGCCCACAGAACGTGTTTATAGGGGTTGCAAACGTTCAATATCCTTTCGAAAAAGAACGGGGGCGTTACCATCAGAACATATTACCTCCGATCTGACGTTATTGAACTTCATCTAGGCAGGCGCGTACATAAATACTAAGCATTGTTTAGCCCCCCCCCCCCCCCCCCTACCCCCGCGGCCTTCGCCCTCTCTCCCTCTCTTTGTCTCTCTTTCTTTCTCTCTGTCTGTGCGTAGCCACTTTCCACAAATCAATTCTTCCCGAACCTTTTGGAGCGCGGCTAACCGTACACAGACGAACAATTAGGTCCGACTTCCACGAGTCGGGAACACCGCGTCTGCTGGCATTCAGAAGGGATCTATCGACGCGATCGGCACGACCATCGAATCACGCGCAAACTGAAGCTTACCGACGCCTGTCGTCGCTGAGCGTCGCTTAGCGCCCCCACCGCTGCACCGCGCGACTCGTTGAACCGAGTGAGCCGGTAGGCCTAGCTAGGCCTATAGGTAGGCCTATCGGCTAATGGAACGCCGTCGTCAGACTCCGCTCCGCTTGTAACGCAGATGGAGTTGCGCCGGGATTCAATTAGTCACGCCGTGCGGAGCTGTCGAAGCCTGCGGCGCTCGACGGGATCTGCCACCCCCGCCCCAAACGCTCGCAGCCGTTGGCGTGCGCGCGCCGCCCGTCGACATTCGGCGAGTCCGCGGTGTGTGCGTGCCCGCTCGATCGCGTTTGGGGCGCTGCATGTCAGTGTCATGTCCAACACAGCCGCGCCGTCATCGTTGTCTTCGTCGTCGTTCGTCGCTATACGATGCGATGCGGAAAGTGCGTGCCTCGATAGGCAAGCTCTCCCGCATACACATCGTTCGTCCCTGCATGCGGTTTTCGCGGAGCCGATGGCGCGATGATTGAAGTCTGCAAGCTGCGTCGGGTGTGCACCTCGAGTTATTGTTTTCGAAACCTTTTGTTGTTGTTGTTGTTGCTTGCTTGCTGCGTGTCGCGCTGTGTGTGAGTAAGTCGCTAACACTTGAGCTCAGTCGGAATGTACTTAGCAGGCGTTTGCGCGATTTTTGCGTCGCTCACATCGGGGCATAAAAAGGGGTGAGTCGTGAGGTGAAGTTAGAGAGCAAACGTTTGACGTTTCTTGTTTCTCGAAGAGATGGATACAGGTTAGCAAGACACAGGGCGCGACGTATTTTAACTCGTTATGGGCATCGCTGATTCGATGCTACGAGCACATCGAAATCAACCAAAAGATAAATTGAACACGAAACTGAAAACAAAAATCATTGCGCTCTGTGTATTCTACGATGTTCCACAAATACGCTTCGCTGCAAAACACGAATGCCGTCGCCCGCATGGCGGATATTCCGATAACAATGCACATATCATATTTCCGCGTAGCAAATCTGAACTTTGAACTACGAAAGTGGACTGCAGAAATTGCCTGTCGCCAACCATGGCGGTAAGACACAAATAAGAGGAATGTCCATAGTCCATTTCTTGATAGCCATTTTCCTTGAATTAAAGAACTTGTTTTGCCAGGAACTCGATCAAATGCGCCGTATCGATCAAACACTTGTAGCCAGCAGTGGCACTACACTTTTTCGTGGGTGTGAATAACACTCAAAACAACTTAAAAACAACAAAACTTAATCACTCCAAAATATTAAATGATGGGCATCTAATTTGCCTCCAAACCTAAAAGTTAAGACTACAAGTTCATTATCGTTGAACGAACATATTGAAGACTGTCATAGCTTTCTATGTGTATTTTCGCTGCAAAAGAAGGAATTCGCTCTTGCTCGCGCTTAGCAGGACAAAAACACTGTATTGGTGAAATCAGTCTATCGTTACCGTTTTAAAGTATGCAAGCATGAGCACATTCAAATTTGCGGTCTGAGGCTACAGTTCAAATATGAGCCTAAAAATAAAGTTGTTCAGATTACACGCGTGTTCATTTATCCGGCGTGCTACCAACTGACCCGTTTGATGGGCGTAGTACTAACCTAATTGCGAGAAGGCTCCTCGTGAGACCAACAAACTTGCCATGGTCAAGCAGATCCTGACAAGTTGGTTGGTGTCAGTTTTTATTAAAAAGGAAGCTACGACTTGAAATTTTACCAGATAAAACGTACCACCTAAATACACATTTTATGAAAGCTTGAGCTTGCTATGCACCCCGATTTCTCCCGGCTCGTCTTATGGCGCTAGGATCTATTGAGGACATCATATATAGATTGGGAAACTATATCTTAAGAACACGCTATCAAAACGCCCGCTAGACTGGCCTACTGTTTGCATGTCGACTGACCAATGTCCATCCCTGTCTAGGATAGTACCGGTGTCGTACACGGGGATGCGATTGGTCGTTCGTCTTATGCAGGGTGTCCACGGTGGCCAATCAGAGCGTGTCCAGTGTCACTTCCACCCTGGTCGTGTCCACCGAGACCGTGGAGGACTCGGGCATCTACAGCTGCATGGCCAAGAACCACTACGGCTCCGACGAGACCAGCATGCGCCTGCTCGTGCAGGGTGAGTCCGCACTCACAGGGTGAGTCCGCACTCACCGGAACTGTGGTGTCAGGGACATATCCGAATCAAGACGTCAGACGGAGGGGCACACGACGTGTCGAAAAGATGACGAAATCCAGCCACACTCTAAAAAACGTTTGTGCTTCTACTTTCACGCACACCACTCGAAGAGCCAATCACCGCAAGTTACGGAGGCAACTCAGCGAATGACGATGCCGAAACATATGTTTAGACCAAAAAACGCAGTCTGAGTTGTGACATTAAGCAATGCAAGCGCGACGTTTTGCATTGCTTAATGTCACAACTCAGACTCCGTTTTTTGGTCTAAACATATGTTTCCGCATCGTCATTCGCTGAGCCGCCTCCTTAAGTTGCGGTAATTGGCTCTCCGAGTGTTGTGCGTGAAAGCATACTTACATACATTTTTTAGAGTGCAGGTCGCCCTAAGACCCGTCGGACGCCTTGTCCAGCGTGTGTCGGGCGCTTTACTCGGGCTTGCACTCCAGTGTCGTCCTTATATATGGCATCTCGTTCACGTGTTCCTCATAGCATTGTTCCGTGAGGCTCTAAAAACTGCGCTCAGCCAAACTTGGACGTTCATAATGTGGCCCAGAGAGAACTCTAAGAGCCAATCACTGTGATATCCTAAGTAAGCTTGGCGAATGACAAGGCTTAAAAAAAAAAAAGAATTTCAACCGAAGAATGAAGATTGTAATCTATTGCTGAGCATGACTTGAAGATGTAAAATATTCTCAGTGATACATCCCAGACCTTAGCATTCTTTATTTTCGCTCGCCTAGCTTTTTTTGTAGTTACCAATGATTGGCTCTCCGAGTGCTCCGTGGGCCACATTATGATTGTGCGAGTTAGGCAAGTTTGCAAGCGAACCTTCACGAGTGTTCTTGAGCCGTATTATAATTGCGAAAGTTCGGTTGCAGCAAATTGTATTGCAGCACGTTTAGTGTTTAATACCGTTGTGTTTTCCTAGCAGCTCATTCGTCTAGTCAATGGCGGCACGCCTTAAAAAAAAAATATGATGAAAGAGGCATTGGCTTTCAACTAATCAGAGCTCGTCGTCCAAACAAAATGGCTACTGTGGTTGTTTAGATTGCCGTACTTTAAGCAAACCTTGAAAGTGACTCTACTATGTGGGCGCAAAGTCTGAGCTCAGCGTTTTGTCAGAGGTGCCGGGAGCCCCCGTGAACGTGACAGTGGCCAACGCGACTGGAAACAGCCTGCTGCTATCCTGGGCCGAGCCCTTCCGGGGAAACAGCGCCATCACGCGGTACCTGGTACAGTTCCGGGAGGCAGGCTCGGGTATGTACCAACTTTCGTGCGTCGCTTTCTTATCTCTAATATACTATACATAGTTTCCTTTTAAATGGGCACAACGTGCATTTACAAGTCGTATTTTGAATGCGCAAACTCAAACTACATATCCTGAGTACCCTAGAAAAAAAAAAATACACTCATGCGTAGCCCATTTTTCTGTTAAAGCGCGATCATGTATCGTGACATGGCCCCTTTTTTTCTGAGATTTATCTCAGGACACGGGAGGTGTCGCGATGTTTAAACGCGTTCTTAACACCAAAAAAAAGGCCACACACTTTAGACTTTATGGGATGCTTAAGGCGCTTGAGTTCAGTTTGCGCCATAAAAAGACGATTTAGAAATCCCGCAGCCGACGCTACCGGCCGCTCGTGCCAATCATTACATTAAAAATAAAATGTGTCGATCATGATTTCATACTTCTTACAAAAACATTTCAATGTGTTGCGGAAAAGGATTCTCTATAGACCGTTCCATTAGGGTCATAGCAGAGAGGGTAAAAGAGAAAAAAATGCACTCCCCCTCTCACCCCGCATATCGTCCGCTCCGCCGAGTGGGCTGTATAGCTAGCGTCCGGCTGGCGAGCAAACTCTCTTAAAATCGCGTCATTTTGGAACTTTTAAGCGCAGATCCGCAGATTTTGGTATGCCAGTTATCGTGTAATAATATGCTAGATAAAAAGACTCACAGGATCTAATTGCGCTGCTACCTGCGTGCAAATAAAAGACAAAAATAGGGAAAACTGTGTCAGATTGGCCGGTATCTTTGGCGAAAAGTAAACCCGGTTGCTGTACCTTTTTTTACTATACAAAGTTCGTACTGGTGTAGGCCTTTAGCGACCATGAGTGGAAGTCTGAAATAATAAATAAAACGTGCTATCCTGCTGCAATACAAGCAATAGTTGAGGGTGGTACTGCCGGCTGACTCAACTGCTATTTAAGTAACGGAAAAAAGATATGCTAGTTGATCATTTGGGAAAATAGAACAACAGAGAGCTATAGGCTGATTTTGGAGTAGCCACAACTATTCTAAGAACGCAAACCACTTCACAACGGCAGCCACGAGCGAGAGTTCGATGTTCCGTACAGCCCGCCGATACAGCCCAAAAATGGAGAACGGCAACCTCCCGTTTTGTCGTCTGCTAGCGGAGTCGCGCGCGTGCCCTCTCTCTCGTTTTACACCGCCGAACCCGCTGAACTTCCCGGATGTGTGGAGAGGGCGCTGCGGTCGAACAAAATGGTGCCGCCCAGAGAGCGCTAAATGGAATGGTCTATAGACTCTTGAGAAAATTGTGAAATGATGCATAGATTATGCGCAGCCGCCATTTTTGTTCTCGTCGCTTCCGGCGTGAAGACGGTGATTGGATCCGAGTTTGCGCCGAGCAATGACCCAACACTCGGGGGAAATACGTTTCTATCCGAGTGCAGTCCGAATGCGGACGAAGCGCTTGTGTTCAATGCGTACTCACAGTGCATAACCAACTGATGGCGGCATCACATGATCTATGCATCACTGCGAAATTGAAAAAAGGATATATTCCAACTTTTGTCCTCATAAAATTATTTTAACGCGTTAGCCTTAAATAGGCGGGGCAATGATTTTCCGACTTTGGCCAATCAACTGCCGAAATCGATCTGTGTTACCTATGGAACGAAAAACAGAAAGCCGTATTTTCTTGCGAGCGCTAGTTTTTTTTTTTTTTTTTTTTTTTTTTTTAATTAAACAAATGGAAGGTCAAAGTGCCTCTCAACTCTCCACGCCGCCTTTCGAGTGACGTACTGTGGGGCATTACGTGGTTTCCCCTTGGGTTCTCTCTTCAGAGACCCCAGCCGCTTCCTCCGCGATTATCGACATTTAAAGAATCAGCATCACTGAAGATCGGGGCTAGCGATCGACACAAAAGACGGTTCGCCACGGGGCTGACGGCGAGTGTAGCAGCGGAGGGGCAATAGCTTTGTTGCCTTCCGCGTATCCCCCAGAAACGCTGTCATCATAATTCTCGTAACTGCCACACGCGGCTGCAGATCGGCAAATAATTCGTTTTTATTGCGAAAGTATTGACTGGTCCTATGGAGCGAGCCGACGTCTTCAGCTTTGAAGCCGCGCCAAACTGCACCTAACCGCCTCTGTCCCAAAGAAGCGAAGTGAAGCCGATTTCTGATGGTTAGGCTCCCACTGGCTGGCGCGCGTCATCAAGGAACCAGGCTTCCATTAACTCTCGTGCGGCGTAGTTTAAAAAAAAAAAAAACGCTACCAGAGAAGCCCTCTCCATGGCGGCGCAGCGCACGCAGCGGCCTGGCCGCCAGAAAGAAGTGCGGCGGTGCCGCTCAGCCCGCCCGGGCAAACACTGGATGGGTTGTACTGGGGTGCCTCATTGTCCTTCTGTTTAGGGTGATGCCACCCTTTGTAGTACCCGATGCCGACAGCACGTGCTCACGGGGAAAATACAAAAAAATCGACGAAAACAAAATGTCGCCATAGCTCTGTCAGCTCCTCAAACGCGTACAGGGACACGCTTTTTCACGCGCTTCTGAACAAAAAAGAAAAATAAACGTGTGGGAAAAAACGGACGGATGTCTCCACTCTACATAAGCAAGGCGCACATGAAGGCACCCTAGGTTGTACATCCGCACTCAGCCGTCAGCCGGCGAAACGTGGCCGTCCAAGCCATACGCCGCAGACGCACTAAGGGAGCGGAAGAACGACATTCTTGCTTTCGCATTCACAACTCATAAGAAGTGCTTAGGTGTCCTCGGAATTTTTTTCTTTGCGAATGCGCAGCGCAATAGCAGTTTTTCGGGTCAAAGTGACGCGTTTTGGTCACTTGTGCTTGGATAGCCAATATAAACAATACAACCTGCCCATTCTTTCAACATTAAAATCGCTGCACTACCCCTTAAGGAGTTCGTATCGCAGAAAAGCCAGCGTAGTGACGTGACAGGAAAATCCTGATTGGTTGCGCGTCGCGCGAGAAATTCAAAGAACCCACAACGCTCACGTGACGTCACACGTGGAGTGAACGTGATTAAAACATGACATATAATGCGAATTAAAGGTCGCCGCATTTCCCGAATGATTTAACATTAGAAAGTAACTCGCTTGTCTTAAAAAAAAATTTTAAGAATGTAAACTGGGATTCGAACCCACGGCCCATCGGTTGCGAGCCAGACACGCTGCTAGCTAGGCCATGCAAGACACGCTTGCACGGCAAATGAGAAGGCGATGCGAACGGGCCCGATAACGCTATTGCATTTTTCTAGAGCAAGGAATTGCTAAAATCAGTAATAAAAAAAAAACTTTCCGTCGTTTTATGTTTTTTTTATATTTCTAGACATAATCTTATTGAGGAAATACGATGAAGTCTGTCAGATGGTGTTAGAAGCCGACTGCACGTCGTACATCTGATTACATCCGTTCTCATTAAGCGAAAATCGTCTAATTTATTCAACACGCGTGCTCAAATGGACGACACACTTAGGCGGCGCAGTGCGCGGCACAAGGATTAATCCGAAACGACGTGGGGCAAGACTTGCTCGCATTCCAGCACATCCTTTGAACGGCGCTGCGCCGACTTGAAATATTGAGTTTGAAGGCAAGTTGTGCTTCTCGGCCTTTCTTTCTTTTCTTTATTGTTCGTTAATGCAAGCAGCTCCGAAAGGTAACTGCAAATTAGCTGCTCTCACTGAATATAAAATCAGGATCCTCCCGTAATCTGCGTCATTCTTTTATGAATAGCAGCCGTATTACTTCTCTTGGCTGTCTGGGGCACAGCTAGCGAGCTGCCGCCAAGCGAAATCGCCAAGAGAATTTCATTCCAGGAAGTCGCTTTTAATGGGGTTTCATCAGATACCCGTCATTAAAATATTTACGTTTCGGGAATCGAAAGGCAAAAAAAAAAAAAAAATCTTCCAGCGGCATCTTACTTATGAGCTTAATTCTCCCTTCAACTTTTTTTTTCCTATTTTACCTTTTGTTTTTGACGCGCTTTATAAATATGTGTGCGCGAGCGCCGGTGAGTTACGAGATAAATTTGTAATGAAAGCTTTTCTTTGTTTGTCTTTCTTTCTCTAGCACAATTTTTTTTATTCCACTTTGTAGTAAATGTATATTTCGAAAATTCGGTATATAATTTTTTTCTAATGCGGTCATTTAAATCGCCAAACAGAATGTCAAGAAAGAAGCAGGAGACTTGACGAATATGCGCCAGCAACGAGTAAGGGTTTAAGGGAGTCAGCTCTTTCCTCACTGTTCGGTTGCGTCTTCTTTTTTTCCTTTTTTTTTTTTTGCAATGCGTATACGTGTGTCTGTGCGTGTGCACAGACACATGCCTGTGCTTGTCTGTGCGTGTGCGTATATATGCACAGGCGTGTCTGGGTGCGTTTGTGTACGCCTGTGTGCGTGCCTGTTCATAAGTGAGCGTGTTCGTGTCTGTGCGTGCGTGTGTCTCTTTCACTTTCTTTCTCGTCATGTAATTCGAAAGTTTGCTGACTTTAGACAGTAGACAGCGCTTTCGTAATTAAAACCGTTTGTTTGGCGAGGTTGTTAGGGAGGGCGCTCGCTTAAAGGGCAACTTCACTCAAAAGGTCGACCCTATCGAAATGACTGATATCGCTTTAGGGGGTCAAAATGCGGTCATACTCAAAATGTCACGTCAAACCTACGCCACATTACCGATTAAAACCAATATTAAAAATGTTCTCCCGGCTCGGTTAGCGGCCCGAAAGCGGGTGAGCAACGCTGGCACCAAGTGAGCTAGTGAAGCAACACTGGACAATAACGTAGGTTTAGTCCTACGCTCTCGTACGGACGCCGCGAACGCTTCGTTTCCTGTGGCCTTCTGCGATTATGCTAACGGCAAGAGGTGCTTACCGCGTTATCCTGTGTTCTCCTATTTTTATTAGCGTCCAGGCATTTAAGTCCAGCATTGCTTCCGCGACAGCCCGGAAGAGAGCGAAGCGGTGATGCTCGCTCACGCGCGTGTCGTGGAGCCTGAGGGACTCGCCGGACTCGCGTTGGGCAATCGGGATCTGCGGCTGCTGACTTTTGCGGGTTTCTCCACGAAATATGCGTCTTCGAAGAACGATGCGGGGCCGTCGCTGTTCGTGTACCGTCTGCCGGCTGCTCCAGCACGATCGGCTGGACGCAGCAGGTCGCAGCTGATCTAACTAGCGTGCACATAAAGGCACCTTAGCTTTAATAACTAAGACCGCTTGTGGATACATCTGTCTATTTATCTCCCATTATTTCTTTTTCTCTCGGTCCGCGAGCAAGAAACAAATACAGTTACGCTGCGCCGGCACTGACCGCGTCATATTTATAGCAGTCGGATTCGCTTTTTGGTCGGCAAATTTGTAAATGCACACTTGAAACTTACTACGTTTGGTGCATATTAACAAAGTGAAGCGGTAAAAAAAGGAAATGTGCAAATTACATTCTGTTTTGAAACTCCACGTGCGACTGAGCCCACATTGTCGGTGCGTCAGGTTAGGAGCGCGGGACACGACGCGCCACTAATATCAGTGTTGCCAAGCTGCTTCAGCCGGTAGTTTCGGTTTCGCCGTGCCGCCGGAACGATACTTGGATTCGCGATATCTACTAAACTATACACACTACCGAAAAACAAATTATATCTCGTGAATCAGGGTCGCCGGCTTCGATTGAACAGATCATAACCCAAAAATTGTAAAAATGGAGTGGGGTTGTCCTTTAAGGAGAATTCCGGTAAGTCCACTTGAGAGTGTTCCCGTCGAAGACGATGTCGGAATGGCAGAGAACGGAGGCTGCCAAATTACTGGCGCGCTGCGATTTCCCAGCGAACGGCGTTATTGCATTCAAAGCTACAACAAAATTACGGCAAACGCAAAATCACCACAAACTTTTTGTGGGCGTAAATGAGCAGAGAAAGTTCTAATCGCGAACAAGCGAAAGGATTGAAAGCTACTAAAATTGAGCATTCGTCCATTGGCAAGAATGTACGTTGAACACCGTTCCGTCGTAAACCTTATACGCTGCTCATTCTATCTTTCCTCGATTAAATTGTGCATGATAATGCTTAAAACTATTTGCACGTTTTAGGAAACTAAAGCGAGACATCTACATCTAAGCTGGCAATCGCTTAATACATTTCTATTTACGCTCCGGTGTACGCCGTTTCTTCTACCGGTTTACGGGTGCAAGCAAATAGCTCTGCAAAGCGTTTTTACCGCACACACTGTCTTATTGCGGCAGAAGCGGCTTTCAGGGACAAACATTCCGGCACCGCTTTTCCTGCACATGTATAGTGCACCTTCACTTTAGGGTAAAACCCTACTATACTTGATCATTAATACCGAAATTTGATTGGGCGGGTAGAGATAAGCAGATGCCTCGTCAGGCCCTACGTTTCTGAATCTTTCAGTGATTATACGGGGCGCAAGTTTGTCTGGTTCTTGCGCAGGGATTGCGGTGACTTCGTAGCAGCGAGCTCTGATTGGCTCTGATTGAAGGATTGTGGGCAGGCATCAATGCTAGCTGATGTTGAGATCGATTCACCATCCTTCCAATCAGAGCTAATCAGAGATTGGCGTTTTGACGTCACTACAACCCCTGCAAAATAAGCAGACGAACATGCGCTCCGTAAATTTCTACAATGCTTCGCCGTCTCGTGCCCGTCGAGCGCGCGCGCAGGCATAGCGTGGCACAAGGCAGAGAACGCGTGCTGCAGGCCGGGCTCAGAAGACGCTCCCTGCCGTTCTTGCTCTGTCAGGGATTTATATAACGTCTTATCTAACCCGTGCCTGTCTCTGCGCGTGTGTGTTTGTGCAGACGACGAAGCTGCGCTGCGCAACCTGACCACCAACACGTCCCTGACGTTGGCCAGCATCGGATCCCTGCGACCGGCGCGGGTGTTCAGCCTGCGCGTCAAGGCCGAGAACGGCGTCGGGTGGGGACGCTTCAGCGGGTGGGTCACGGCCAACACCGAGGAAGACAGTGAGTGGGCCTCGGTGTGCTTTCGCCCCCTTCTATGTCGGTTTTAAGCGTGCTGCCTTGTGCGCGTCTCACTGCGTCCAAGAAAGTGTTCGATTTCCGCCAAATGACTTCCTAGAAACGTCATGTTGTCGGCGGGCGTGATTCTGGATCGCTCTCTAGTGTGATAGTACACGGAAGCTTCGTCAGCCAGGAATCGCGACGTCGCAAGGAGGGCCTCACTCGTGTTTGCTCGTGCTTTTTGGCGGAACTTCTACGACCGACCAATGGAATCGCGACATCTTACAGCGTAACACTTTGTTTCTTTGTGTCGTCATTTGTTGCCACTTCGGAACCACTTTCGATGCCTGGGCGGAACGGGACGCTGGAAGTCGTAGATGCGTTGCAGGCCCGGTAGTTTTAAGGAAACACTCTGCTGACTATTTAAACCAACAGATTTGGGTTAGCCCAACGGTCAGACGACATTACTAAAGTGCCCAGATATCGTGCTTGGCTCCCACGCAAAAGATCTAGGTTCAATTCCTAAGAGAAAAATCTTTTTTTTTTTAAATTGCGCGTTTAGGTAAATTTGAAAACCCTGTTGGCTCGTTGTAGGTCCGAATGTTCTGCGCGCCGAACCTTCTACGCCTTGTAAATTTTATCTTCTCATTTGCGTGCATTGTCGATGTAATCTGCGTAGCACCGCAGTTTCTCTCACCGTTCGCACTTTCCAGTGTGCTAACTCGCCGATTCCTAGCAAACCACACGAAGTGTTCGTGGTACGTGCACTAAAGCCACGGTCATGTTGCTTATACATCACACAAAAGACGGTGTGAAAACAAATTCGAACGCAAGTCACCACGAAATTCGTCCTTCGAATTCCGCACGGCCACGAATTTAAGGCGAAACTTGGCACGCGGCATTCAAACCACAGATATCGTGGTGGCTGACGTCTGCACGCTGTATTTTGTATGAAGTATAATCAGTGTGTCTTCGGCTTAGCGAGTGCCAGGAGCAATGTTTGTACTTTTTGATTATCCCAAAAAATCCCCGACCTTTTCACCACAATGCTTCCCAGAGCTTGTGAGACAATGTATAAAATTCTAATAAGGTATCACAGAAATTCGCTAACAAAGCTCAAGTTACCCCATGCTACACGTAAGAGCATAGTGCGTAAGTACATTGATAGCAGTGTGTTGGGGCACAGTAATAATCTTCATTTCAACCCAGGGTAGTTGAAGCGCACCAGAAAAGCCGGAGGCCCGTATCAGTTGGCCGAGCACACCGGAATAGAGCCAGAAAGAAATAAACAAATAAATAAAGAAATAAACAAGTATGTCTACAAGGTTGCTGTAATGCTTGGTGACCATGAACAAAGATGTGGTGCGGTACGGCGACTATTATACTAAAATGATGTGCGGTGTACCGACTGTGTACGAAAGTGCTGCGTGGCTTGGCGACAGGTCGTCCTTATATCCTCTGGGTCATTCGGGCAGCAGACTCTTACGGAGCGCGAAAGTGAACGCCACAGCTGGACATTACATGGAAGGAATGACTGCCGGTGGAACATGTCGGTTTCGTATACCATCTATATCTGCCGTTCGTTACATTTTTATTCTTGCACATCGTGCACACCGTTTTCTGCGGCAGCAGCCCTGCGCAAGATTGAAACACCTCCGTACAGGATGTCGTAACGAACGAGCTAAAATGGTCCTTTAGGACGCTTCTATAGAACTCTGCAGAACGATCTGAAATCGCAGAAATAAAGCATCTAAAAAAAATAAAGCGTTTTTTTTCTTGGTCACGGCTCTCCGTCGAAAGCAAACGACCCGAAGATTGGGAAATAAACTCGAAATAGGACGCTATTTTTCCACCGCATCTCCCCGTTTGAATAAGCAGCCACGTAACGTGGCGGTGTGGGTTTCGAAACGCTTTTGTCGCCGATAAGCGAGCCCCCAAAAGACCATCCAAGGTGCTCTTAGGTTGTCGGTGTTATAAGTTTTTTTTTTTTTTTTTTCATTTTGTTTCGCTTCGAGTTTTTTTTTAAGTTTTTGTTAAGCGTAGAAATAAGCAAGATATGACGATTTTGCAACCCAGACAAATGTAGAAAAAAAAACGAGAGCGAATAAATGAAGCGTTTTTATTATTAATATTTCAGTACCGGCTGTCTAGACGAGAAACGATTCAAACTAAAAATAAGACCGCGACGCTCGTACAATTCACGGTATCGTATCGTTATGTGCACATCAAATACAAACTCGAAGTTTCAAAACGGAAAAAAGATCCTTATAAAAAACACAGCAAGTCTTTCGAAGACTGCAAGCCAAAACAGCACTGCCTTATTTTATTTTTTAAGACGGAAAAATGAAGTGAAACAAAGCAAAACAGGTTTGGAAGGTTATCGGGAAACGACAAAAGTGAACATTTTACGCCATTCCGTTACAAACGCGTGCCATCTTTGAGCAAAAAAGTGTTCGAGAAAAGCTTTTTCTTTTTTTCTGACGAGGCCATTCTTCCATTGTTTCGGGCATCTTTCGCCTAAACCCTCATTCTTTTGTTTCGCAGTTTGCATTTTTATTATTATTATTGTTATTATTAATATTACGATTATCGTCTAAAAAAAGTGGATTCGTCTTTAGGTAAAAAGTCGAAGAACGCTCCATCATCTAACGTACTATATGGGGCGCGTTGGGTGCCGATACATAAGAAACGATACAGACAAACGCCCTGAAAGAAACAAATACAGATGATGAAGTACATGTAGAAAGGGGAAATATCGGGAAACGCGGAGTATCGCAGACGAAACGCCCGCCCCGACGTTTCCGCCATAAAGAAGAGCACGAGGAGGCAAACCTTCAACTCGACTCCGGCAGAAGGACGCAATGGAAATGGAAACGGGAATGATTAAGAGCGAGACACGAACTGCCATTTCCCGTGACACTATTTTAGACGGATATTTTGGTTCGTCGCGTCAGTGCGAGCTCTTCGACCGTAAACTTTCTTTTTCTTGCTTCTTGTTATATAGTCCCTGAGAACCTAGAAATGTGTTCACGCTTCTTGATTCGTGACTTCTTGTTCAGTATTCTTATCTTCGACATTTCTTTCTTCGACACTCCTTCGATACTTCGACACGCTCGTGACTATAGGTACGCGCAGGATTCTACTCTCACGGCGTTAACGAGGGTTTTATCTACCAATGCCTCCTAAATAAATTTAAAGAGTTGCTACATAATTCCTGCACTCAATGATTTATAAGAATTCGAAGATAAAGCTCGCTGGCCATGTTTTTTTATTGGTGTATTGATCGGGTACTAGTTGTTTTCCCTTGAACTGGTATTATACTTTTGGTTTCAAGAAACTTTTGCGCTTTGTTGTTTCCTTCACCTGTTCTAAAACATTTAGGTACGCTGTCTTATAGATATTCACTGATATTATTTTTATGGAAAAGTGCCAAGAACTTCTGGGCAGGTCAATACACCGGTCGTTTGATTTGTGTGTTGGTCTTGCTGTCAGCCACTTGAGTAAACGAAGTTTGCTTTGCTATGCAGGCCCGGCCAGCCCGCCGGTCAATATCACCGCCAGACCGACGGGCCCGAACTCAATCAAGATATCCTGGGAGGTAAGGGAGTCCCCCTTGTTTACCTTGACTCCTGACAAGTACAATGAGCAGCGGGGAACAAAACATATATAAAATACCTATGAAATATTCTGAACCGCCAATATAGAAGGTGTTAGTTTACATCTAGTTATATCTGCGTTCCTCGAAAATGTATTGAGAAGTCTCTCGACTTCCCGTCAAAGACTGCTTGAGGATGAAAGTAAACGTTTTATAATCTGGTCGTAGCTCCTGTTAAAAAAAAAACACAACGTTGAAATGCTAAACGTACTCATGATAATTTGCGAAGAACCCTATGTAAAATCAAAACAACATTTTTACAAGTGAATGTCTCGTCACATAAAGATGATAACTGAGATTGGCTGGAAACGACTCACCACCTCATCGAGGTTATTTTAGGCGTGCCTTATGAATTCAACATAAGAATGATAACCCAGTCAGCATTATGTGAATCTGTGTTCGTCGAGCACCTCACCATCATGTCGGGTTGGGCCATAATAGTCAATTAAGATTTTCCAGAATTAATTACCGCTCCGGCGCTGTCCTGTCGCAGCCTCCAAAAGAGGAAGACTGGAACGGGCACCTCAAGGGCTACTACATCAGCTACCGCCCTGTGGGATCCAGCGACCAGTACTACCACAAGACGGTGGACGTGCACAACCCGCATCAGCGGCAGGAGATTCACCTGACCAACCTGAGGCTATCCATGTCCTACAGCGTCACCATTCAAGCCTTCACCAGCAAGGGAGCTGGACCCATGTCCCAAGAGGTCCTGGTCAAGACGCTTGATGATGGTGCGCCTACCATCTAGTTCCTTTCTTGTGACTCGTCGGGCGCATCAATTGCCAAGAAGGCAAGAACAAGAGAAGGAAACTCCATAACCGCATTGTGATGTCTTCACTTGTCCATGTCTTGTTTGCGCTCACAGTTCTACGCAAATGTATTAAATTTCTCATTTTTTTATATTTTTTAGAAAAGTCGCCATGTTTTGAACACTAACCGCGATTGGATCCTTTAATATATAGCAGCTGAATGTCAATCACCGTCGGTAAAGCAGAATCTCAGTCACATATGTTTTTCTGTCAAAATGTGAGCTGCCCCACAACGCTAACACTGAACAATATATCATAGATTCAAGAAAAGAGTTTTTTTTTTTTTTTAGTTAAGGGTTATATTTAAATATATCGTTTCAGACCGGCATACAATAGGCTCTGAATAGATTTTGGGGGGACCATGTACATTTTGAGAAATTTTCTAAGTGTGTTTCATTTCACAGTACCACCGAGTCCTCCAACCCTGGAAGTTGTGTCCGTAACAACGAGCTCCGTCACCCTGGGATGGTCCCTGAAGACGTCCTTCGGGAACCCTGTGACGGGTAAGTACAACACATTGCGCAGCGTAAAATATATAATTACCTGGAGCGCGTTAGCAACATTTTAGTATATCTGTAGTCAATGCTAACTGCATAACCACAAAATATATAGTCGGAAGAAGTTAGACTTAGTTCAGTCTCGTATCTCGTAGTTCCATAAGTAAATTCAACTAAACTTCTTGTGTAAAGAAAAAAAAACATTCATATTTATGCTTTGTTTTAGCAAAAACGCAGGAACACTTTGGTTATGAAACATTATTAACTATTCATATTAGTATTCTTCAATCGCACCTTACTTACAGTGTTCAGTCGTGCGGTTCAAAAGAAATATTGACCCCGTCATGAAGTTACAGAAGAGGGCCCTTAGGAGAATGCATTCTGCATCCGCTGGTAGCCCATCCGAACCTTTGCTTACCTGTAATATAATAATGCCCTTGAAAAATCTTTGAAACTATCGAATAGCGCTATTGGTGAACAAAGTAATTTTGCAAAGCGGCTCCCTTCCCTCCGAGTATATTCAAGTACTTTTCAGATAATCTCTCGTTCTGCTTTACAAGGTTAACTATTTAATATCAATACATCCCATTGACTATGGCCAAAGGTGCTTAAAGCACACAGGTGTTGAAATATGTAACGAGATTTCTGTCTCTATTTTCCATCTCATAATAAAGTTACCGCCCTTAAGAATTTTTTTTTCCATCGGCAACTTTGAAGTGTGGAAATATATTTGATATGTAGTTGAATATTTGAAAAGTGAATATTTACTTATATAAGTACGTGTTAAACTAGAATGGCGTCTTGTTTGTTTGGGTTGTATCATATCTATTTTATGAAGGTGCGCAGATTGTGTTCACAGATAATTAATGTTTGTAGATCATTATGTGTGTGATTTATGTTCGTAGTTAATATATTGCGTATATAAAATATAAACCTTTAATATTTTTAAGTGATTTATTTTGTATTTTCTTGTGCATGCACTGAATTGTTTGAATTGAAAAGGATCCACGACTAGCCGCTGGATATGAAATGGATCCTGGTCAATGTATATATTTCCAGGTATTATTTGCAATAAGGATAATGAATCAATGCACTAATACCTGCTTAAAGAACGCTGAAGATTAAATACAAGCGAAAACTGTTATCTGTATTTATACTAAACTTTGATTGAGCGCGTTGGTAAGAGATTCAAAAATACGAAAACCTCTTTCGTATATTTGAGTATTTATGCCCTTGTTGCTTTTGAGAAAGAACATGTCCAGATTTTCTTAGGGTTACAAATATGTTGTACGATCAAATTGCCGAATTGAAGAAGCCACACATGTTTTTGCGTTAGAAACTTTAAAATGTATCTCCAAATGGAACGAATTATTTTTGTATTTTTTGCGCATCGAAGAGTTGCACAATATTGTGATTTCTATCAAATGTCGCGATATATTCGTGATGAAATAAAAAGCTCACAAAAAAAAAATAACAAGGACACGAGAAAACAACACGTACGAAAGACAAGCGGTTACTCACGATTGAAAGTTTAATAGGACTTCAGGTACACATGCACCGATCAACACGGGGAGGGGGGGGGGGGGGGGGGGCTATTGAACAGCGCATGTGCAGCCAGGGAAAAGGGCTATTTTTCGTGTTTTTTTATATAAAATTGTATTAAACTTCCAGTTGTGAGTAAGGGCTTGTCTGTCGTACGTGCTTTTTTTTTCCTAGTTTTTTTACGCTTTTTATTTCCTTGTGAACCACAAACAACTAGCCCAGCTTTCAGTCTTGCTCCCGATATATCTTCTTAGCTCTTTAAGGGTACGAGGCAATAGGCATTCCTTTTTTACTGAAGCAGTTTGGTTTAGTGCAAATGTTATTTGTTTCGACGTCCACAGTCCCAAGGTTACATAGGAATCAGTCTCCATCTAGAATAATGACTATACTTACACTTTGTCCCTCTAGAGTACGTGCTCCACCAGCGCAAGGACTCCGACCATTGGCAGGAGACGCCCATCTCCACGGTGCAGCCCCTGCACACGGTTCGGGACCTAGAGTGCGGGACCACGTACCAGTTCTACATGACGGCCCACAACTCTCTCGGGCGCAGCGAGCCCAGCGACGTGATCCGGGCCAAGACCGATGGCGCCGGTAAGTGGCACGCCCTGTTTACAAAAACCGATGGAGCGGCACAGCAGGTAAAATCATTACTCTATGGAGCGAATAGAATCGTTTTAAACTGTGTGCAGAAGAAGCTAAAAAACGCCACCTCTTTCAAGCCGCGATCGCATCGCTCATGCCTAAAATCTGCACTGCTAAAGTCTTGTGACCACCAAGTGAATGCTAGTTTTAAATACCAGATTTCTAGACTGAAATCGGGCGGGTTCCCGTGCTCGGTCTTGGTTTCTGTTGCGGGGACCGTCTTACAAAAAATATGAGGGTGATTAAGAGAAAGGTCCCAACAAAGAACAAAGAGACCAAAGTCATTCCGTGCCTCCGCAAGGTTGACCACAATCTGAAGAAAGTGGCACGCAAGTACGATGCGCCCGTAGTTTTCTTTGCCCCAAATAGGTTGGCTGGGTTGTGCTCATGCATTTTCGATGAGAAAGCCGAATGGCAATCTGAAAAGGAACGCGTGCCTCCTTACGTAGACAGCACAATGGGTATAGTGTATGAAATTCCACTGAGTTGCGGAGGAACGATGCATTAATAATCAAGCACGGGAACACGCACTATCAGTAAAAAATAAATAGGGCTCGCATTTACCGATGTATTCTAACACTTGTCGGCTGTGTTCCACGCCTTCCGCAGATTAGGATTCTGGGGAGAAGCCGTGGAGCCGTTGCTCGTGAACTATTGAAGGTGTTTTTTTTTGTTTTTTTTTATTAAGAAAAGTGGGACGGCATGTGTCAGTTTCACGTAATAGAAATTAATTTCTGTTTTTGGATGATCAGATACCGACTCGATAGCTGCATATGTTGTCGCTTTGCGTATGTATACAAAATTGTCAAAACAAATCCGGACTTTTTTTTTTCAAATTTTGTTTTTTAACAATACAGTGAAGCTGACCGGCCGTATTGCGCTTCTGCAGCCACCGGATTGGACAGCGGACCATCGCGTGATAAACAATTCGGCACTCGTGCAGAAATGAGCGGGGAATGCGACCGGAGGGCAGCAATACTTGAATCGCTTCTCGCCGGAAAGTTGCCCAAGCACATCATTGCGTGGTATGTGCGACAACAAGACACAAGTTTACAGCATTGCCAAGACGTTCAGATAATATGTCAGCCAGGAATGCGTTACGGCAGACCGAGCAAGGCGCAGAAACCGGTCGATATTTGTTTCATCTTTGCCTCTGTGTGTTTTCCTGAATATGGTGAATTTTCCAGATTTATCTCGACGACCCTATTTCTCCCGGGGTATAAATAGCTGAAAGTTAGCGCTTCTCTTGTTTACTTCGTGTTCCTCTCTGTCTCTTAATTTTTTGCCCTATTTTATGTGTTTGACTAAGATGAACCAACTAGCCCAGCAACGTACCTAATAAAGAAGTACCTACGGACACGCCCCGATTATGTTCGAAGCGGATTTTCTTCGTACATCTGTATTCTTTGAACATGTTGAAAGACAGTTTTATGTGCTTTGTTCAATAAATAAAACAAGACCGATCATACAAGGAAGACACACGCGTCAAACAGTTTTTGTATACTTACTTTTTTGCATGATGTGTTAAGCTTCGGTCACGCACTGTTAATACATCGGGCAAAAGACCGTTTACAGACGACATCTGAAGCGTGTTGCTTCCGCGTATCAGGGCCCTGTCACATTGGCCGTACAAAAACTGTCTGCGGAACCGTTCTATAGCTTACAAATTTATAAAGCAAACATTCCTCGAGGCGTGCCCGCAGATTATGGAAAGTGGAAGTTCTCGTGTTTGCCGCGAACTCTGTGCCTTTATGCACGCTGTATGAACAGTGGGAATGTAGCTTTACCAACTTTGACCGCGGCCTCAGATAAGCGAGCTGAGTACACCAGAAGTCGGTGGTCCGCTTGTCTTTAAGGACGGCCCTTATGCCGCGGTGACACTGCCCATGTATCATAAAAAATGAAAGCCGTTTACAACTCCCTGTAACGCTGAATTAGAGCGCAGCTCTTGAGGAGGAGGAGGGGAAGGCACGGAGAGGAGGCTATGCCCTTCCTCCTCTCCTGCTCGCCTCCTATTTAGGGGAAAATTTTCCGCTAAATTTAGCGAGGACATTTTTCCGCTAAATTTAGCAGGATAATTTGTCCGCTAAATTTAGCAGGGAAATTTTTCCGCTAGATGTAGCGGAGTAATTTTTCCGCTAGATTTAGCGGGGAAATATTTCCGCTAGATTTACCGAGGAAAATTTTCCACTAGATTTTGCGGGGAAATTTTTCCGCTAAACCTAGGGGGAAATAATTGTTCCGCTAGATTTAGTGGGGAAATTTTTCCGCTAAATCTAGGGGGAAATTTTGCCGCTAGATTTAGCGGGGATATTTTTCCGCTAGATTTAGTGGGGAAATCTTTCCGCTAAATCTAGGGGGGGAATTTTTCCGATAGATTTAGCGGTGAAATTTTCCTTCTAAATTTAGCCGGGAAATTTTTCCGTTAAATTTAGCGGGGAAATATACCCTTAATGCACCGCGCGGTTACGCCGACGCCGACGCCGCTCAAGCCGGAAACTGGCGCCTAAGAGCTGCGCTCTAAAAAGACATTGCTCGCAGCAGTCGTGGTGACAGAATTATCTGCGGGCAGGCCTCAAGCATGTTTAAAGCATGTTTGCTTTATAGAAGGATTCGAATATGTCTGAAGATACTTTTCCTTATGACCAATGTGACAAGACAGAGGGAAGTAACGTGCCTCAGACAGTGTCTTCAGGCTGTCTTGTGCACGATGTATAGGGTGTCTGAAGTCACCAGGTTCGATCTAAAATGGGCCGTAAAAATCGGCACCTGCACGTAGCAATCTAAACTTTTCGTCAAAGGTGTATTTCACAGGTCGGTCTTTTCTTGTAAAATTAGAAAACGTAGTTCCCTTTCTGCAAAAAAAAAAAAAAAAATAGGGCCAAAAAACTGGCCGGGGTCAACGGCGGGTGGTGACGCAGACAACCAAGTCGAGTGGCGGGGCGCGTTTGACGCTCGTATTGGTAGATGGTATATCTCCCTATCGAGACTAGAGTTCTTGTATAGGCTTCATACGGGAGTCAGAGTTGCACGTCTGTTTTCTACGTGCCGCCGCGCCGTTATTCCCCGAGATCCGATCACGTTAGGAGCCGACTCAAATGCCGTGCAGGAAAGTAGACGTTTCGCGCGCCCCGCCGTACGTTCTCCTGCTTTTGAGCGCGGCGCCGCTATTCGCTGAATTCAGTCACGTGAGGAGCAGACTCCGAATGTCGTGCAGGAAAGCCGGCGCTACGAGCATGAACGCGCAACTGTGGCTCCCGTAGGGAGCCTATAAAGGAACTCTAATCGAGACTGCTCGCGACCACCATTGTTTATTAAAATGAACATAATATTTTTGTAATGTACCTTCGATTAAAATATAAACGCGTTTGCATAGCGATGCCGCTTTTGCTGCCAACGAATTTCGTCTGCGTGTTGTTTGCTTTCTTTCGCTGGTCGGCTACACCTTTGGACGCTGCTCCAGACGCTATCTATCAGCCGTCCGCCGTTCACCCTAGCAAGTTTTTTGGCCCTATTTTATTTACAGAGGGGGGGGGGGGGGGGCTACACTTTTGTAATTTTACAAGAAAAATCCGACCTGTGAAATACGCCTTGGACGAAAAGTTTAGATTACTTCGTGCAGGCGCCGATTTTTGCGGTTCATTTTAGATCGCGCCTGGTGGCATCAGACAGCCTATATTAGCGGAGTGAACGCGGCTTTAACGAGCTTCACTTACCGCCACGTCCACCCCCAGCCCCGCTGTCTCCGAGCAAGGAAGAGTTCATCCAGGCGGCTCAGCGGCACGCCACCCTGAGCCTGCGCAGCTGGAAGAGCGGAGGCTGCGAGCTCCTGGACTTCTCCGTCCGGCTACGGCAAGGAGGCCCACCGCAGGCCTGGGCCAACCTGGCCGAAGGACTCCCGGCCAACCAGAGCCAGTTCCTACTGAGAAACCTGACACCCGGAGCAACCTACCACGTCCACGTCGTCGCCAAGTCCACCGCGGGGGCCACCGAGGCGCAGTATGAGTTCGCGACGCTCAATGGAACCACACGTGAGCCCGGTCAATCCTCCGAGTGCTCTGCATGCCGGCATATAATGACCAGTCCAAAGACTTCCGTGTACGTTACGTTGGTTGCCGCGTGACCCTCAGTCATTCAGTCATAGATAGGCCAAGAAAATTGGAGTAGATAGACCATTCTACAAATCTCTTTTTGCACGTTGACATTTTCGTCTGCTTGGCTATGAAACGCATTCTGAACATGCGCAATAGCTCTCTTCTACGAAATATGAGCATCCGTCTACACCCCGGTGAATCATAAATTTTCGCCTCTGTGATGATAAGTTGGAAAAGTGTATTGTTCCTTTCCAGCCTGTTAAGTACAGGGCATAAAAAGCAGAGTTCATCTCATTATTACTGTTTAGCCAACATAACAAGAATGTAAAGTTTCCCGATGGGGGAAGCAATCACGAGCCAATCACGAAGCATTGACCACCTTCGCAACTGTATTTCTGCCGCTGTGTCTTGTCGTTTTTAAGCTCTCGGTGACTATAGTCAATTCCACCTTTCCCAAATCCACACTGTGGTCAATCTTCTACTACCAACCCTTGAACAGCTGCAAGCAGCTCGTCCAGTAGCGAAGTCAGCACGGTTCTGTTCCTGTGCATGCCAGTGCCGTTCCTGCTATAATTAAAGGCTGGAAATCCTGCCTTCCATCCTCAAAGCAAGAAGTGTTATACGTTGGTTGGCCGCGCAAAATGTTGTCCCAAAACTAATTTAGAGAATAAAAAAAGCGCTTTGTAGCCCCCGTTTCTTTCAAGTAGATTAGAGCTACGCATCTGATCCACAGATAGGAAATACCGATTGTGAGGCAATGAACAAAACGAACCTCTAAAACGAACCGTGTCGTTCACAACTCTCCATGGTCACGAGAACGCAAGAATATAAAAAGAAGTTTAAAAAACTAGGGCATGCGCATCATGTGACGTGTCTGATTATAAACCTGCAATTATGAGTGACTTCGCAAAACAAATAAAAAAAATAATGCAAAAACATGCTGTTAGACTTAAAGCCTTCGCGGAAAAAAGATTACAGGACGACATTTAAGACTGCTTACGTGTAGGAATGCTTTCGCATTCCCACACGCAGCGCCCTTCCTTTTTCACACGGCGTTCTGGCGGTGACATTACGCTCCCCAACTCCGCAAGCGCGGCGATTCCGCCGGCTTCGCGACAGCTTCCCTGACGAAGCATATGAGTTGCTGTGCTTTACTTCGTGTTTTATTTCTAAGGCGCGTCCGCTTTGACCTGAGCAGCCTCGCCGGCTTTCGTGACGAAGCATCTGATATGACGCGTCGCAGCCAATGGGACTTTAGCTGCCGTTTCGCTCAGCCGATGGAAAAATGGGAATTTAGGTTCCGTTTTTCGCGGTTACAGAAGCCGGCTTCGCTCCCTGGGACCTCCCCCCCCCCCCCCCCCCCCCCCCCCCCCCAGCTAATGCTTTCTCATTGAAAAGCTCCACCGTCACGTTTTTAGTTCAGCCAACAGGTTCGTTCCACACTAGGGCCTCTTACCTCGAAAACACGGAGTTGGAGCCGAAGTTGACGGAGCGAAACGATTGGCCTATCACGACGATGACTTCGCGCTTTTTTCGCCGACGTCCAATCGGCGCGCTCAGCGAACTTTTGGCTCCAACTTTCTGTTTACCGAGTTTAGGGTTATAGACCTCGGTAAGTCAAGCAAAAAGAAAGCAGGGCCAGAATATGTAACTTCCAGTTTCTCATTGATGCGCCAGTTCACGAACGGAGTGTGCATACGCACTTCATGTTGCACTCACAACAAACATACCAGCAAAAAGCAAACCCGCACTGCTTCGAATCTACGAGCAAATTTGGCTCATGGAAATCAAGGATTTTCAACCTTGGATCTAAGAAAAGTACCAATCACACAATTACGTGGATTCAGTTTTTGTGCAAGAAGTGTGACACCGCGACCGTGAAACAGCCTGGTGTTGTCCACGTCCAGAGGAATGTCGTCCCCCTGCTTTGCAGACGTGGCGTCGGTGGAGGCCACGTCTACGCAGCCCAAACGCTCCACACTGCCGAGCATGACGGACTTGGAGATCATCGTCCCGATCCTGGTGTCCAGTTTCGTGGTCCTCGTGGTCATCATCGTCGGCTGCATCCTCTGCTCGAGGGAGTCGCTGTGCGCGGAAAGGGACAACTGTAAGCACCCCTAGCTCTGTGTTGTGCTCGCTGAAAGTAACGAAATTACGTTGAAGAGAAAAAACGCGCTCTTTCTCTCTCGATCGGTATCGCGTATAGTATCTTTGTCGATTGGTGTTGTATTCTGATTGGACCAAAATTTATAGGTCGTGCAAGTTCGTCTGCTTCTTGCACATTTCGTGCTTTTGTTTCCTCCGACATCAACCAATGACGGCAAGCGCTTGGCTGCGTCATCATCGCATGTTCCCAGCAACGTTAGTTCCTTGCTCGTTCCCTATGCTGTCCTTTGATTGGTGTGCTCCTCTTTAAGTTTCGATGCTCCAAAGACGCATTTTGGAGCGTTTACTTGCTGTCTAGGCCGATGGCGACTCTAACCTCACCCATTTAATCCCCGTTCTTATGTTTTACTCTCTTTTTTTCCGGACGTTTCTGTTGTTCACTTGAACAAACAACGTGCTCCCCGTTTCTAAATGCCACGACTCTTCCGCTGGGTCTCGCGTCGTCTTCCCATAGTCGCGGTCGAACTGCAAATACGTCATACAAAAGACAACTTGCAGGCACCGTTTTATTCGTGATTCTTCCTCCGGTCCTGTCACGTTGGCCGTACAAACACTGTCATGTTCGAAGCAAACAAATGCACGAAGGAAAACATGCTTCTAAGATCTCTGAGGCGTGTCCACATATAAGCCTGTCATCATGTCTGAAGCGAACACCGCGTCTTTTGTATGACCTATGGGCAGCGTGACTGGCGCTTTAAGAGTGGCGAAAAGAACATACCCTGTAGCGCACTAATTGGGCTTTAATTCTCAATTTCTGCTACCCGTATACTAAATGAAAAAGCGGGTTTGGCGTTATAAAGTACGAGACTCGGCTTTCTGGGTAAGCTTCGGACATGACCTGTCGGCTTCACTGGTACGCTTTTACTTCGATGAAAAAAGTTCGATTTCCTGTGGCGTCGCTTTAATCTCTGAACCAACTTAACCAACGGTCGATGAACGCATAAGCCGTGGCTTCATACTAAAAGTATCTACTTTCTTTCAAAACAAAATTTAGCTTTTCTTTCAGTTTCCGGCTGCCACAGTATTCCCACCTCCGATGAAGAAAGAAAAAGGAGCATACCTAAAGTACCATGGAAGAAAGTGTATTAGAGCATTATCAATCATGTGGGGTTGTTCAGAAACGGCTAGGGCCAGGACTAAAACGTCGTTTCATTACCGCTCCTACGCCCTAAAAAAAAAATCTGGTGCATCAGCTCTTTTTTTTTTTTTTTTTTTTCAAAGGAGCTGACAGCTTAAGAAAAGCCGGTCAGGACCTACATGTTAAAGTGTTTTGCTTTGTGATTCGCTTTTCGGCGTTTTTATCGGCTAACATCCCAATCTCATTAGCCGCAGAGCGATTGCCCGTTTGATAAGCTGTCAGTGTCAGCGCATGACCACACGCGACGCGTGTCGTCGCTTTATGGATCACGACACTCTCTGGCCTCAGTCCGTGCGTCTGTGCATTCTCCGTGTCGTCACAAAAATAAAAAAATAAAAGACAGGAAAGGTCGACGGGGAGACGCTCGCTAAAGACGCGACAATTTTCCGCATAGTGCGGTTTGGTCAGTATCACCCTGAAGACAAGGCCTGCGCGTGACGTCATCATCGGTGGACCCCCAACCTACCCCAAGCGGTTAACACTTTGTGAAGCTCTACGAGAGACGCCGCAAAAAAGGCAGACGAGTCCGTTTTGGCGCCGTCGCGTGCTTGGCGTCAAGCTCGTTGTGTGACGCTGCGAGACGCGTTGGCGGCGACGCTGACGCAAAATTACAATGCAATCTGTTTTCGCAGAGACTGACGACTGCCTGCCCTTTGTGCAGAAAAGTGAACGTAGTTTACATACAAGTTATTTGCATAGAGCGCGCGGGACAGAGTTGGGACCTGGGTGGCTCCGCGCAGGCGCACGTCCCGAACTGCGCAGCAACTACTCCGAGGAGGTGGTGGCCATGAAGGAGCTGGCGAACGCGGCCGAGTGCATGGCCCGCTGCGAGGACGGCATGCACGCCCCGCAGATGGGCAGCCCCTTCCCCACGGCCCAGTCCATCTACGCACAGAGGCCCGGTAAGGTCAGCACAACCACTAATCCTCTCATATGCCGCTCAATCATCTCGAGGTCCACGCCGATCCGTGTAAACTGAGCTAGATATGAATACGTGCTAGGGGAACAACGAGCCATCTTAGTCGGTTGGTGTATATTGATGGCGAATGAATGGGGGAGAATTCATCTTGAATTGAACGAACCACACGCAGTCTTCTTCGTGCAAAGCTAAAGGCTAATAAGACCTAACTTGGTCTTATTAGCCTAACTTGTCCTAACCTATCTAATCATTGCCGAACTTAACCTAGACCAGGGTGTAAGATAGACAGGCGGGGAAACGGCCTATAGAAGCCTACCGCAGCGCCGTGACCGGATTGTGTACTCGTCTGCTTGCGGGTAGTACCCCGATTTGCGACAGATGGCGCTCCGGCGAGAGGAAAAAAATTGGAATCCGATTTGCATGGAACTCTATGGGAGAGTGCGCAAAATAAACCGAGAGCACGACAGTCCTCCATTGAAAATCCACGAGAAATCATCTCCGTCAGTTTAGTTGGTCGCCACCGGTCGCCTACCCGGAGTGAGAGTTCGCGGTGCTCCACATAGATGGCGCCACAAAAAAAAGAGAAAACCGAGGGGGACACAATCCGGTCGCTAATTTGGCTCTCGTTTCCCCACCTGTCTATCTTACACCCTGACCTAGACCTAGGGCATATTCACACTGTTATGTCGAGATATAACCGCGATTTACCGAAACATCTGTGCTTTCTGTAGTCAACGTTAACCCGGGGTGTGGATGGGCTTTTACTTTGCCTGGCCCAACCTAGGGAAACCCGTCTCGTAGCCGGTCTCAGCACAGTTTTGACTGTGCCTTACGTTACCTCCTTTGAACCTGATTGAGCCAGTCTAACTTACTCTCAATTGGCCTGATCTAATCTAAAGAAAAAGTAAAGGGAAAAAAGACCGGAGAAAAGGCTGTATTTTTTTTTTTCTTGCTTCCGCATTCATGTGTCGGCATGTAAAAAGACATTCTTGCGAATAATCCTTCAACGTTTTTGTACAAAGGCTTGGCAATCTTTAAGATTTATTCGTGTAAACGAGTGCACTGCGCCTGTTCACTACTAGATGTTGCGCGTTCCCGAGCATCCAAATCTTCCCTCTTTTCGTGGAACAAAATTTCGTCTTTGCGACTAAAGAGAGGACAAGTGAAAGAAGGGGTTTCCATCTTTCAAGTTGTTCATGAAAGCGTAAAAAAAAAAGCAAAACGGTTTATGAACATCTGCTAAATCACAAAAAAAAAAGAACTTGTTTAAGGGCCTCTGGGCAGTAAGATTAATCGGCACTATAACTGCGAATAACACACACATTCATAAAATAAAAAGGCACTCCAAGTTTAGCTTGTCGTACGAAGAGTACGTCACCACGGATTAGCAGCTTATCGAAACAAACCCCTGAACGCAGGTTTTATTGACACAAGGCTTTCCGTGATGCTCCAGAAACGGAAGATGACCCCTACGCGATGCCATACGATGTCCTACACCGAAACGGAGCCGAAGAAGGCGATGCTGGATGCCAAAATCATCTAGAGAGGAACACCCTCAAGCGACGTCCGGATCTCAAGGAGCACCGATCGAACAACATCTACATAAGCCGTCAGGTAAACACGCGCACATTTCTCATATCCTTTACAATATATAAGTAAATAAGTAAATAAGCATTCCCCTAGTATCTTCTCGTGTGTTTCACATAAGCGTTTCAAAATCTCCGTTTGCTGAAGAGCCTTTCTGGTTGCAAACTGTGAGGGATTACTTTTCTGGGGTGCTGCTGTCTTTGACAGGATGCTCTTGATCTGCGGGGCACACAGAAACGGGGATGTTGGGCAGACGGATGTTCTTTCCTCATATCGTACGTTGGTGTATCGTTTCTAGTGTGTTTTGAGTAGAGGTGGGTGGGATCAATCTAAACCTTGTGTCCCGCGGCAACGACACTGCGGCAAGAATGACAAGATATCAACTGTAATCGCGTGTTGGGGGGTCGCACTTATTTTCTTCCGGCGTGTGACTCGTCTGCACTACCGTCATATTTGAGGCTGTTGCAACCAGGTTAAAGAGCGTAAATTCCTGAAGTGATCTGCTTGGCAACTAAACATAAACTACGTAGATAAAAACCCTCGTGAGACTGGATCTTTGATCTCGTCAGTCCCTTCTATTTGTGAGTTTTATGTGGACTCCTACTCGCATGTGTGTCCATGACCTAACTACAGTAGTGCAGATTCATAGAAATACACAACGAAAAAGATCAAGTCTTAGAAATGCTGAATTCTCAACAAAAAGGTCAAGAGGCATAGGTTGCCAGGGATTGAAACTAAATTAAAATTAAATCGGATTGCCCCACTTAAAAACCAGGGTATGTGAAAAATGATATTCGAATAGATTCATGGGTACGAGCATTGGTTGAGCAAATTATATCTTGGTGTCTGTAACCCGGAATCTGGAAGATGGGAAAGGATTTGAGGATGGTGTGTACCCTATTATAATAGTAGTACAACGCAGAAAATAACATGTCGGTTAGAACGAGCCAGGTAAATAAAGCTAACTAGATGTTTGGTGTGGCCGCTCGAACGCCTAAGCGCCGTTCACAGATATGCAACCGAGTAAGACCGAGAGAGACCAGACCGGTTTTTAAGCCTCTTGCGGCGCAGCGCTTTCGGTCCTAAGACGTCGCAAGAGGCTTAAAAACCGGCCTGGTTCCTCTCGGTCTTACTCGGTCGCATATGTGTGAACGGGCTTTTATCATCTGATCACTTGCGATCGAACACAAATGCTTGTTTCAGGCCCAAGGTGGATAAACAAAAGGACAATAACCCTATTTGTGCAGAAATATCATGCTCCGTAAACACTTTTAAAAATGGCTGTGCGTCTACTCTTTCGCAGAGCCCTAAAAAGACAAATCACTTCGATCTATGAAAAAAGCTAAGAAGAATCACGAGTTAAAAACGAAAACAATTCAACCTCAGCATAAAGTCTGCGTGCAATGTGACACTGCTGGCCACGATGTCGAATGTGAAACTTCATGTTCAGAGTCCAGTCGCAGGCCTATTTTTAAGGTGTAAACGTTTCACCACCTCCGTTATTCGTCTAGTCTCCTGACTGGCTCTCTGAATTTCCTGCAGGTAAAAAGTAAACGTGCGAGCGTTTTAAGAGAGCATGTCTCCAATCAAAAATGGAAAGGCAAGGTTCTTGACTATACAAGAGCTCGTGAGAAAGGAAGAAGAAGACGTGCTTCGAATAGGTCTGTGCTCTTTTCGTCTCTCATATTTCTGGCTATATTTTAATAGTATCAACCTTCTACACGTTTTTCTTTGAGCCTATACAAGTGCGAAGCCTGCCTCCAACTGCATGCGGGCAGGTGTGACGGTCGGCTGGGGATTATTCCTCGGCTTTCCTGAAACGACTCCGCTATGTCCACCAGAACTCCCTCACTAACGGCAAGTCAAAGAGCTGCAACCGACCGATACAGCGTGAGTTCCTCGATATGCGGGACATCTCTTGCAAAATCGGAGTACGAAGCTTCCGCTGCTGACTTGGCAGAAGATCTCGCAGCTGGTCAACATTCAAATATCAACGTATTGAATGCCGAAGAGTCACAACTCCGTGACATGGAGCTCAACGACGACGAAGAAGGCTGGCAGACCAAAGGAACAAAAAAACGCAAGAAGACTGACTCAAACTCAAGCAAAAGCACAGATACAGTTACCCACTCGCCGAAAGTGACAGAGGGGCTGACTGTCATCTTTGTATCAACGGTTGAAAATCAGCTCATCGCAACACTCAGCAGCCTTAAACTGTCAATTGCTTTGGAACAAATGTGCCCGGAGTGCATTCTTGAGGTCCGTCCTAACAAAAGACTCAACCTAATTGCAGTAGACACGCGCAATGGCCAGACGACTCGAACGCTCCTTGCCTGCTCCGAGCTTTGTGGAATGAAGGTCAGAGCATATGAGCCGGTTCCGCGACACTACGCCGTCGGAGTCATCACAGACGTTGATCCTGCGCTTTCTGAAGTAGAGATCGAACAGAACGTGAGATCTCCGGAAGGTCGAGTGGCAAGATTGCGACGACTTGGCAAGAGCACAGCAGTGAAGCTGTCCTTCTCAACAACGACACTGCCAAGCTATGTTTACCTCGGCCATGTCCGTCACCCAGTCTCTCTATTCAAGGAACGCCCCATACAGTGCCGTAAGTGTTGCGCTTTCGGACACCGAGAAGCCACTTGCAAGCGACCTCCTATTTGTAGCCGCTGCGGAGATTTACATGAGAGCAACACCGAGTGTTCGGCGCAAGAAAAGTGTGTCAACTGTGGACAACCTCACGCTGCCACTTCTTCATCCTGCCCCAAATGGAAGAAAGAAAGCGAGACTCGCAACTACGCACGTCAACATGCCGTTGATTTTCGTGCTGCAAGGACAGCTGTCCAGCAGTATAAGACACCCAACGCAAATCAAAGTGGTCAGCCCCCTCCAAGCCCACCGAAAAAAGGGAATGATCCCATCAAGGAGCATAATGTCAGTGCTGTAAATTACGCTGCAGCACTTCGGCGAAAAGGCAAAACGTCGCAGGGAGCTTCTGAATTGAACAACCACCACACCTGCACTGTGGAATCGAAAGCCGACACTGTCAGACCAGCACTGAATGTGACGCCTGCACTGAAGCCGCAGCCTCCTCCCAGCCCGAATGCTGAACCTACAGCTAAATCTGCATGGGAAAGCTGGATTCCACTTCTTCAGAAGGCAACCCGCATGGCTCACGCTTTTCTATCTACTGTGGATGCGCAGTGGGCACGACTTCTCCTCTCATTCCTTAAAGGGGTACTCCGCCGTTTTCTTCATAGTCCCCGATTTGCCTAAAAGCTTCCTAGACACACCAACAAACATCGCTGAACTAGTAACCCAAATATTTGAACAAAATAACGTTTTTTCGTGCAGTTACAGAATTTACAATTTTGGACCTCATCGTGTTTTTCAAAGTGAAAAGCTCTACGGGCAACATTGAAAAAGTGACGTCATGGTTGGGTAGGAGTTCACTCTTTGGGCTGTAGACTTTGTTCACATCTGATTACAAACAGTTTCATGGTGTCAAATGAATGCTTTGGAAGGTCGCTCCAGCCCCCGGCACAGCAGCACGATACAAATGCTCGGCATAGTTCATATTTAGACTGCCTGCTCGAACTGCAATCCAGCCCAACCGTGACGTCAGGGCAATGAAAAGCGCGGGTATATTCGAATCTTCGTTTTGGCGTCGTTTTCATTTGCCGATTTCACAAAAACTATTCTGAATTTCGCGATACTAAATAGCATACCGAAAAGAGTAACGGACGGCGATTTCGAATATATCGTTAGTTGGGGTTGCTCAAAATATCGCCGGAGTTCCCCTTTAACATGATTTTTCCTCTTATGGAGTCATAGTAAAGGGAGGGAAAGCCAACAGGCCGTGTCAACGAAACCGGAACCCCAAATTCCCATCCATTCTCCAATGGAACGTGAACGGCCTTCGTACACGCATTCCTGAACTTCGGCAAATTCTACAGCAGAGAACCATAGATGTAGTTGCACTCCAAGAAACCAACATCCTACAAGGTGAGGTACGACTCTCTCCATATGTTTTCTACAATTCTACTACAATTGACTCAAATACTAGGTCTCGAGTTTCACTTTTGGTGAGATCAAGCCTCCATCAAAGCGTCCTGGACCTTTCAGATCTCTGCTCATTAACGGCAGAGTATGCGGGAGTCATAGTAAGGCTCGGCACGCAAGACACCACAATAGTTTCCATTTACGTAGCCCCTGGGGGCACATGGGACCCAGATGTGTTGCACCAAATTCAACAGAGAGCTAAAGGTGAACTTTTATTAGCTGGAGATTTCAACGCGCACAACATGAACTGGGGTGATAGCCTAACCAACAGAAGGGGAAGACGCCTGGAAGACACTATTGCGGCCCTGAACCTCACAACTCTAAACAGCGGAGCACCCACATTTATCCGTAAAGGGGTCAGAAAAAGCGTCCTTGATCTCACATTTGCATCGCCTGCGATTAAAGTGTCGTGGGCAATACAACCAGACACATGGGGTAGCGACCATGTTCCCATCATTATAGCCTCGCCGAACGCAAGTGCAGTCGCCACCAGAACATGCAAAGTAGTCAACTGGGACCTTTACCGTGAATATATGGCAGCATCAGTAACTGCGGCTGACGCTACAGACCTACCTGCCATCATTGAAAACTGCATTCGACGAGCGACCCGACTAGTGAAGGTTCCCATCACGCGACCTGTCCCGGACCTAGAGTTTCTCAACCTCCGAGCGGCACGGAGACAAGCCCAACGACGGGCTATGCACACAGATACAGAATACGACTGGGCACGTTACAAAAAAATAGATGCGGCGTTCAGGAGGCACACGAAAAAATTGCAGCGCTATCAGTGGGCTCAAAAATGTATTTCCTTCGGGAATCCGAGGGGAGCCGCGCAAGCTTGGCGGTTAGTTGGCGCCTTGGCAGCTGCGAAGGTCCCTTGTCACCCAATTGCAGCACTCGCCATCAGG